TCCAGGTGTTGGGGTCGGAAGTGGTTTTTGTCTAGGACTGAGCCATTGTTTTTGGCATTTAATATTCACATAGAAAATCCATTTTTCATCACCATTGACAATTCTGTCCAAAAATGGTTCACACGCATTACGCACCAGAAGAGACGAAGCAACGTTCACATGTTGGAAACGATGATCATTGGAGATTTCATGAAGCACCCAAACACATTCTTTATGGAGTTTTCCCGTATCCCTTAGATTTTTACTTATTTTTTCATGAGAGACATGCAATTTCAGGGCCATTTGCCTTGGGTTAGACTCAACAAGCGTCTTCAGAGCATCAATATCAATTCCAACATGTCGGCCCCTGCCATCACAGTTTTTAAGGCTAAAGTCACCTGAACGAAATTTGCTGAACCATCGTTGACACTTACGAACGTTCAAAACATTTCCACAAACTTCTTTGATATTCTTTGTGGTTACAGAGGCGTTGTTACCCTTCTTGTATTCAAGCATCATTACATGCCGAATGTGTGTCGTCGTGCGCCATCACTATAAGGGATTAGAGTATACTAAACTTTACACATTATATAGGTTACACTAATGTGACGTTTAGGCGATTCGTTTAACTATTATACATGATGTACGTTTTTTGAGGGGTGGTTAATGAAAGTGTTCCAAAACGCGACATTAATTTCTTGACAACCTAATATATTATTGGCTTTATGACCGTAAATATTGTTAACAGCGATGATACACAACTGATGAAACAGAACATTCTAAACATTGTAAGTTTTAGCCAGTTCGAAACTATACTAAATATAACAACAATAATAATATATAAATTGGTGTTAATATAAAATAACACTGTTATTAATCCTTACCCCGATGTTGCCTTGTGACTCGTATAGCACTGATAAAAAAATACATTTCCCCAATTTAATCTACATACCATAACAGATATTGTTCAAACAAATGGATAATATAAAATTAGTCCCAGTCCCTACTGTGTCTGTCTTATCCCAGCCGACTTGATGAGCCAGTACTCGTCAGTACTGGGATGGAAGATACAGTTTCGTTGATGTCTTTTTACACATTTCAATTTACTTTCGCTCTTAAGTTATTGGTAGTAGTCATTTATTATTGCTGCTGCCAGATGTTCCACAAGGAAATACTGGTCGTGCACGGAAAACCTTGAAGTTGAAGCATCAGTTTTGTAAAGATATGTATATTCTTGAAAGTTTAAGTACATAAAATATACTTCAAATGTATTCTTGAATAATATAATACGATAATATATTCAATAGGATTCATTCTATAAATATTGTAATTACTCCTATTCAAAAGCGAGCTCCATATCAACGTCATCTCTGTGTACATTTGACTGTCCCGATAATAGATCGAATATGTTCCGCTGTTGAACTTGGTGTTCTAGCTGGTTTGAACAAGTTTTGTAACTGTTGTCTACCTGCAAAAACCAGTCAAGCCACATCAAAGGTGTATTGCCCTTGTTTTTTTATTATTAAACTGGCTTTCTTTGTAGTAAGTTAGAACAATACACTAAACCTGCTGACAGCAGTGGTACTACCCGTCACAAAATATAGCTTTCTATAAATGGTTATTATGGGCATATTGCAAGTTTTAAATAAATATATATTAAAATCATCAGCACACTGTATACCTGGCAACATTTCACTAAGGTAAAATGCTGAATGTATCGAAACTTAAATATTATAATCTGTATTATTTGTAGAACTGTCACATTTTAAACAGTATTTTGTTTATCTGCGTATATTATACAAAGAAGATTTGTTGCTTAAATAGTTTACTCCAATTGTGTTAATTGTAGAGCATAATTCTGTAATATTTTGTCTATTATCCTCCATAAATTTAATTATTAATAACTAGTAGTTGTGACTTACATCCATTTTCTTGCAGCGTGAGAGTTGTGTCCTTATAATAAAGGATAAATGTCGACATCGCTGTTAACAATGGATGCTGGTTATATAACAATATATAAAATGTAACACGTAAAAGCTATACGGTCGATCAGAAAGGACAGTTATTAACAATATGAAAATAAAATAAGGATTAGTGTTTCGTTCGGAGTGAACTACCACGATCACAGATAAGTTCAAAGAACATATCACAAAATCGGCTATTATTAGCGCCATTAGACATGACTTTTGTACAAGCATATCAGTAAATAGTTTTAGATGACGAGAATCTCCACATCAACTCATAGACCAACTCTATGGTTACTTTTGACTGACTGAATAGCGGGATTTAACCATCGCTCTTATACAGTACCCACGATCCCAACGTGCTGAGTGAGTTTTTGTGAAAACGGTACGCAAACCATGAATCCTCGGATTCAGTCTGCGTACGCTAACCACCACCTCCTCAAACTGGCGAGTTAAACACATTTATTTTTTAAATCTATTTCATCTACTGCCACGCTCAACCAATAACTAGACTCGTATAGAGCTTGTCCGAATACAGGAAGTTCATACGATCACACCATCCAAGAAGGGTTCGATAACCACCACTTTCTTTACTAAACTTTAGTTATATCTATTTCTTTCGTCCTTTATATGTTACGTATCATCATTATTACCTACCATTTTATCAGTTTCACCAGACGATTTAAAGCTTTCGTTACAACATTATTACAAGTTTTAAGAAGAAACACGTGAAATCTCATCAAAAACACTGTAAAAATACATTTATACCTCTGTGACATTCCACGTTGTCGGATTACACTTTATTACAGCAAATTGTAAAATTACACTTAAGCTACGTTATGGTTTTAGGCATTCTTAAATAGTTGAGCAGAAGGTTTTCATATTTTTACGTGTATTTAGAAATGGTAAAATAAAATACATATTTTTCAACTTACCTGTGACGTTGAAAAACGTCTGACGAACTGGTGAACTGATAGCATTTTTTAAAAAGCTTGCTGTTTATAGTGTATGCTGCGTTTGTGATAATCGAAACTGTACTATAATTACGAACCCAGCCACGTGGAATGAAGAAACATAAGGTACTTCGCGCTGGCTTTAAAACCTCCAGCGCTGGCAGTGCCCTCTTAATTACGCCTTATATTTTCTTTCCGCACGGCTCAAATGAAATTTTTGTCAAAAGAAGGTATTGTTTTGTGCTATGTGATACCCAAATTCAATACTTGTGTATGTTATAAAAAAAGGTTTACGCAGAAAATACTTGGATAATATCAAAGCACAAATTCTATAAAAAAAGGTTAATATAATTCACAAAGTCATTATAAAATTTTTCTCGAAAGAGATGAAGCATTATGTGGAAAAGATTGTGAATTTCAAAATACATTACTTTGTATACATTGAGCAAAATCAACGTTCGGAGAGTTAGAATAAAAGATAACTGGTAAAAGACACATCGAAAAGAATAAAATTACCTAAAATGAGTGTATACGATAACAAACACCAGAAGGTTTGTTTTAATGAAGAAGATTGGTGTACGTTTGTTTTGAGCACAAAGTTACACAATGGGTTATCTGCCCTGTGCCCATCACTGGTATTGAAACTCAGTTTTTAACGTTATAAGATTGCAATCTTAGCCCAGAGTCATTGGGGGGGTCAAATAAAAAAGAAAATGATGTTGCACTTAAAAAACGTAAAATACAATGGAAAATTATCTAGAGAATTGGATTTCCTTAATGTCAAATACGTAAAATACAATGGAAAATTATCTAGAGAATTGGATTTCCTTAATGTCAAAAACGTAAAATACAATGGAAAATTATCTAGAGAATTGGATTTTCTTAATGTCAAATAAATAAATAATAAGGAAAGAAATAATTTTAGGTAAGGCTGTGAACGTGAAAAGTTGGTAACATGTATACAGAAAGCTTGTTATTGTTCAGATGTGGGAGAATGGGAAAAAATTATACATAAAAGGTAAACATTAATAAAAACTTCCAAGTGAAAGCAAAGAAGTGTCTGATAATATGTCAAACCTACAATATCTGCTATATCCAGTGGCGACAAAGTCTACTGGGATACGAGAGAAATACGTTGAAAAACACTTTACTTTGGAGATATATCAGAAGAGCAAAAGTTATTTAGTAAAGATTATTGATGATGTGGCAGTAGATGTCTAGTTTCACTACTTATTGCGTTAAGCCAGGAACTACAATAGTAGTAACTCTCTATAGATTATTGTATTTATATCAACATTTTAATGTGTTTTTTACAACATAAAACTTATATCGTTGGAACTTCATCATATAAGTTGTTTCTGTTCCTTCACACTACCAGTGATAAACACTCACGCCATATAGGTAAATAAAAGCATTAAAAAAACAGTCTGGGCCGGGCTCAGAGCAGAAGATAAAGTGTGGCCACGTATTCGATTACTTTCACTGCTAGTTTGTTGACACTATACAAATAATAAACACTTAAATACAACACATTTTTTGCAACATTTGCAGCCATAATAATATTATATTGCAGTGTAGAAACAAAACACGCCACAGTGCAGAATGTTTTTTTTTCTTGTTTTTTTTAAAGAATAAAACACCTGGGCATTCACATCCTTACCTTTTCATGTAAAGCGTCCATAACCAAGCCCTTCGTGTAATATAAAACCATTTACCCGAACAGTACTGGCTCACTATATTCACTTCATATTGCTAAAGATAATCAAACAATCAATTATCACTGTTATGGAAACGAAATATGATGTGTATTTATAAGAGATTTGTACACATGTAAATAACATGCACATACAGTAGCCAGCTTACAGCTAGAATGTAAATAAAAAATAGCTTAGGTGAAACGCTGAAAATATTAGTTAAGTAAACCGAAACTATTCCAGGAGTATTTTATAGATAAGTGTAATACATGCTTTAATATGCAACTTTATACTTTCCCAACATGCTCTGATACCTGTAGCACATTACTGAGGAAGTTACAACAACATGATAACAATTTTCTCCAAGTCATAAATGACAATTCAGTTAAGGTAAAAGTAAACATATAAATGATTTAGAATTATTTTAGAGAAACCCAATTTGCAGCAAATTTGTTTAATTGTGTAATGGTCAGCGCCCTTAGGGCTAGTCGTTGGAGTTTCAACTATATTGTCGTTTACAACTAATTTGAGTGGAGCTTACAAGTCGCTAACTCGAGGTAATTTACAGTTGGAATAAAGAAACTGATATTCAAAAGAATACATCAACTAACAGAAAATACATCTCTTTAATCATTAAACATTTATTGATTTTTCATTATAGATATGTTTGGGTCAACAACACTATTAGTTATATCTCGTACATAACACCTAGTTTCTTAGCTTTGATATGTTTGGGTCGACAACACTATTAGTTATATCTCGTACATAACACCTAGTTTCTTAGCTTTGATATGTTTGGGTCGACA